GAGGCCAGAGGCATCCAATCCCCTGGAACTGGAGTACAGAGGGTTGTGAGCCATCATGTGGGGGCTGGGACTTAACCCAGGTCCACTTTGACCTCTGAGCCATCTCCTCAGTCCCAGCCTAGGAGATTTTTTAGAGATTTCATAGCAAGATGTGCAAGTGGATACTTTTCTTAAGCAGATTCCCTAAGACAGCCCCTTCCCTAGGGGGTCAGCACAGGTCCACCCCAGACTGCCCTGTGGCAAAGAAAAGGGGTCCTCCCTCCCTGCACTGCAGGGGCCCTGCCTAGAGAAGGAAGGTTGTCCTGGGAGGGGACTGAGGCCACTTGGGGAAGAGGAAGAGCTGGCCACAGACTCCGCAGATCACTTGGACAGGAGAGTCCCAAAGGCTGCTTGTTTCCATTTTTTTTTTTAAATTTGATCAGGATTTTTTAAAAAAATTGCAAATTGCATTTGAACCGGTGGCTAGACAGATCATAGGCCCTGGGGGAGAACCTGCTACTATTATTCTGCTAAATGGACATAGTATTATTTTTTTGAGACAGGGTTTCTCTATGTAACCCTGGCTGTCTTGGTACTCAATAAGTAGAGTAGGTTGGTCTTGAACTCACAGAGAGAGCTGCCTCTGACTCCTAGTGGTAGGATTAGAAGTGTGTCTGTGCTTATATTTATACCCGTAGACTAGTGCTTCTCTCAACCCTCACCGAGAAGCTTCTTCTGCAGTAGATGGTGTTTAACACAGACACCCACGACTGCTCAATATGTAGAGAATAATGGCACCAGGGCAACTTATAGAAGAATTCGTTTGGGGCTTACAGATTCAGAGGGCAGGCAGGCACAGAACTGGAGTGGTGGCTGAGACACAAGCTAACTGGGAATGGCATGGACTTTTGAAACCTCAAAGCCTGCTCCCAGTGACACACCTCCTCCAACAAGGCCACACCTCCTAATCCTTCCCAAACAGTTCCACCAACCACTGACCAAGTATTCAAATATATGTGCCTATGGGGGCCGATCTCACTCACAGCACCACAGACACGCTCAGTCCTAAATGGGACATCTGCATCACACCTCCAGTGCTCAGAGGTCATCCAGGAAGAGGAAGCACAAGGAGTGAGAGCCTGAGGTTATGGATGATGGCAAGGGAACACAGCAGGGCGTTTGCACACACAAATGAAACCACAGCAGTTGTGGCAGCATGAACAAGACCTAAGTGAGTTCAAGCCTGAGACACAATCCCAACATGAAGAGGAAGTGGGTATGAAGTTACACCCCTAGCTGAGGAACTGTCGGCATTTGATAACTGCTGGGACAGGAGAGTCCATTTTCTTTAATGATATGACTCCTGATAGGTCAACCACAATCCAGGAGAGGTTCCAACTCAGAAGTATTGGAGAAACACAAATTGGACTCAATGGGGGAAAGAGAGAGAGAGATAGATAGAGAGAGAACAAAGTTGTATGTGGAGAGAGATAGGAGTGGATTTCGGAGGGGTTGGGCAGGGGGAATGAATATAATCAAAGTATATTATATGAAATTCTCAAATAATTAAATGGAAATATTATTTTAGAAATTACATTTGATCCAGTTGGTGGTGGCGCACACCTTTAAGCCCAGCACTCAGGAGGCAGAGACAGGTAGATCTCTGAGTTTAAGGACAGCCTGGTCTACAGAATGAGTTGCAGGACAGCCAGGGCTACATAAAGAAATTCTGCCTCAAAAAACCAAACCAAAACAAAAACAAACAAAAAAGAAATTGCATTTGTTTATTTATTAGTGTGCTTTTGCGCATGCTTGTGTGTCCTCCATCATTTGGGTTCTGGGAAGGGGATTGAACTCAGGTCATCGGGCTCAGCAGCAAGCCCCTTTACTCACTGAGTCATCTTTCAAGTCTTGCTTGTTTCCTTTTAACTTTTTTTTTTTAAATATTTATTTATTATGTATAGTGTTCCACCTGTATGTACGCATTCAGGCCAGAAGAGGGCACCAGATCTCGTTGTAGGGGGTTGTAGGCTACCATGTGGTTGTTGGGAGTTGAACTCAGGACCTCTGGAAGAGGAGACAGTGCTCTTAACCTCTGAGCCATCTCTCCAGCCCTCCTTTTAACTTTTTATTGTCTTTATATTATGCCATTGCCCTAGTTAGAGTTTCTATTGCTGTTATCAAACACCATGACCAAAGCAACGTGGGGAGGAAAGGGTTTATTTGGCTGGCACTTCCACATTGTAGTCTGTCACTGAATAAAGTCAGAACAGGAACTCAAGCAGGGCAGGAACCTGGAGTCAGGAGTTGATGCAGAGGCCATGGAGGGGTGCTGCTTACTGGCTTGCTCCATGGCTTGCTCAGCCTGCTTTCTTATAGAACCCAGAACTGTTGAGGGATATTTGCTTACATTGTGTATTGCTGTGATTGGTTTAACAAAGAGCTGAATGGCCAATAGCTAGGCAGGGACGAACAGGTGGGACTTCTGGGGAAAGAGGGCAACTCAAGATGAATCTAGGCGCACAAGGGAGATGCCAGTGAGACATGGAGGGAGTTGAGCACACAGAATGGAAGAAAGGTAAAAAGCCACATGGTAGAATGTAGATTAATAGAAACAGGTTAATTTGAGTTATAAGAGCCAGTTAGGAACAAGCCTAAGCTAAAGGCCAAGCTTTCATAATTAATAACAAGTCTCCATGTCATTCCTGGGGAGCTGGCCATCCAGGGAAAGTCCGACGAGAAAGCTTACTACACAGAACTATCTGCCCAGGTGAGGCCCCACCCACAATAGGCGGGACCCTCCCACATCAATCACTAATTGAGAAAATGCTCTACTGACTTGCCTACATACAGCCTGATCTTCCGGAGGCATTTTCTTAATTGAGGCACCCTCCTCTCCAATGACTCTAGCTTGTGTCAAGTTGACATAAAACCAGCCAGAACAGTCGTGAACACATTTTATTTACTTGTTTATTTATTTATTTACTTACTTATTTGTTCAAACAAGGTCTGAAAATCACTGGTTGGCCTGGTGATTTCATCAAATGTCCTGGGTGGGTCTAAAAACTGTGATCCTCCTGCCTCAGCCTTGAGCACAGGGATGACAAGAGCTTTCGGGGTGGCTGAATAGCACCCCATTCTGCATCTGTGTCATGTATTTAACTTTCCCTCCATATGTTGAGAGCCTCTTCCTGCAGTGCGCGCCTGCCCAGAGCCTGTGAGCTGAGAGACTGTCTGCAGCACCCCCAGGTCAGTGCACCCGTGTGCAGCAGTGAGTGGGCAGGCTCAATTCTAACCTGACCATCTGGAGTCTACAGGTCCTCAACTTTCTGGTGTCAAAGGAACACATTCCAACAATCTACTTTAAGTGTCTTAATTGGCTTTAGTTTGGAATTCTGGAATCGGAAATATTTCGTTGTATAAAGCAGATGGGGTATTCCCACGGGTTGAGCAAGGCGGGTTTATAGGCAGAAGGGGAAGAGGAAGGCAGATGGGAGATGGTCACTTCAAAGTTACTGCTAAGAGCTGGAGCCTAACACTGGCCCCTGAGAGCCCGTGCTGAAGGCTTGCTCTCCAGCTGGTGGGTTATGAGAGGACTGCATCCTGAGGGAGTCAATCTGTGGTGGAGTTTGTAATGGATGGACCGTGAGGAGGCTGTGGGATCACGTGAAGATGGACTGAAACCTTTGAATGTGTGAGCTAAATCCACCTTCTCTCCTCGATGTTGACTTGCTCAAGGTGTTTTGTCGCAGTGGTGAAGGGATGGCTGATGTGGACACACCCACCAGGATGGGTGAAGTTAAAAAATGTTGACCACACGAAGTGCTGATGAGGACATAGGTGATGGGACTCATGGGAAGAGAATGGAGGTCAGACAACGTGGAGGGAGTGCTCAGCAAGCTCTGCATAAGCTGTTTTAGCTCCACTTCTGTTGCTGTGACAAAAGGACACCTCAGAGGAGAAAGGGCTCAGTTTAGTCTGTCACAGCTCATCGTCACAAGGACACCCAGCAGGAACACGCAGCTGGTCATATCAGAGAGAAATGAATGCATGCACTTGCTTGTTCTCAGCTCAGTTTCTTCCCTCCTATATGCAGGTAAGGACCCCTTTACCTAGGGAATGGTGCTGCCCACAGTGGGCTGGGTCTTCCCACAATAATTAACTCACAGACATGCACACAAGCCAACGCAATGCAGACAATCCATCATTGAGACTCTCTTTTCTCATGATTCTAGGCTGTGTAAAGTTGACCAAGATGAATGACCTCTTGATCTTGAGAAATGGGACCTGGAGGTAACCTCTGCCTTCAAAAATGAACATACATGCATGCACATGTGCGCGGGCACACACACACACACACACACACACACACACACACACACACACACACATTCTTGCTGGTCATAAAGGAGTTGGTAGGGCACCCACTGCCCAGGACCCAAAGGCGACACTCTCACAGGATGTCCCCACAGTACTGAGGCCTGATCCAGGGCCTCGTGGGTCACCCAGCACCCAGCACCCAGCATCCCTCTTCTGCCTGACTCCTGATCCTGGCTGTCTTCTGTTTTGAGTGACTGAGCATCTACTGATGTGTATAGAGTCTCCCCACTTGTCCATTCTCACAGATGCTGGGGTGTCTTTGTCCCTCTGCCCTGGCACAGGCTCAAGGGCTTCTGAAGGAACTGCTGCTCACTATGACTCTTCTTTCTCCCTCCACATGCCCTCCTCTGTCTCCTGCTGTGTTCTGTAGCCTCTGCGTACCAGCCTGGCAGTCTCTTCTCAGAGACAGCCCTATTCTCAACCAGGTCAGCCCTATGCTCACCAGCTTGATAGCCATGGCTGCATCCCACTCTGTTCCTCTGTGGTGGCCCTGGAGGACTGGGATGTTTGCCCACCCAGAACCACCAGGATCTCCCCTACTAGTTCACAATCTCATTCCCTATTCCTCAGAACCCAGCACACCTGCCCTCCAAACACTGGAGGAAGCCAGCAACACCTCCTGCATGAATGGACCAGCATCGTGAGAAGTACATGTGACTTTAATGATTTCAGATTAGTGACCGTGACAGACAGAGCTCTGCAGTGGGCACTGGAAATCCCACAGGACCTCACAGAACCTGCGTGTGCCTACAATGGGAGCCCTGGGGACTCTCAACACTGGAGTGAGTGATGGCTGAAACCTAGTAAAATATAAAGCTCGTAGAGACGGTGGAAGCTGGGGAGATCTGGTGGCAAGCTGCTGAAAGCAGCTACAAAGAAGGAGGCCAAAAAGGGGACACATGGGTGTCTGAGTCCCCACCACAGAGATGGACCATCTAGTCCAGGCCAGTGGAGTTAGTCAGGTAGAAGGGGCGGATGACCACACGGAAGCTGCTGAAGGCCCCTGAGGTGCAGGGAAAGACGGAGGAAATCTTGGAACTATTGGTATCCAGGGCACTGGGGATAGGAGCCTTAGAGTCTTCAAAATTGGTGACATCCACCACACTGGACCCTCCACAGACCATCAGCGCTTTGTTTTCGTAGCCAATAGTAGGATCGGAGTAGCCGGACTTGGTGAGGCCCAGCACAGGGAGCTCGTCAGAGGTGCAAGAGAAGCCGTAATTCCAGCAACTCTGGATGGTGGGGAGGTAGGTGGCTGACCAGGAGATCAGCTTGTCCTTGAAGAGGAAGCTGGGGTGTTGTGGGGTCAGGAAGGACCGGTAGGGGTCATACCGGGTTCTTGAGCCATAGCCATATGAGTAGAACTGATTGTAGCTGTACACTTGCACGCCCCGTGATCTTGAGGAACTTGAGGAACGGGCTGTCACCAAGGTACTCCAGGTTGAGGAGGTGTAGAGCCGGGGCTTGTAGGTGTCATCAGTGAGGTTCAGGCCTCTGTACTTGACCAGCACTGGGAAAGGCACGGTGTGGAACTCCAGGGCCTCCATGGTCTTCCTTTGGAACAGTGCCTGGTGACCCTGGTACAGGCTCAGGTTAAACTGCAGCTCAAACAGCTCCTCGGGCAGCATCATAGGGAAGCGGACCTGTTCCAGCAGATACTCTTCCTCCACGTGGGAGATGCCACTCTCTGTGCTCCACTGATCCACCGCCTTCAGCAAGTCCAGCTCACTGGACACGGCCAGCTCACTCTTGGAGAGGAGAGCCTGGAGCAAGGTGGTAGGGACACTTAGCCAGGCCTCAGCCTGCGTCAGAGGCTCGAAGTTCCAGGCTAGGAACTGCACGCACAGATCTTCCAGCACAGAGTCCTTGGTGGCCTGTGCGTACGCATAGAGGTCCAGGGGTGTGTGGAAAGTGGGATCCTGGGGGAGGAGGGTGGCAAAGAGCCGTCCGCAGTAGTCTCGAAGCTGTGTGGCCTGAAAGGCTGAGGCTAGCTTGTGCAAGCACTTGACAGAAGACATGGTGACCTCGATTCTTCGGGAGTAAAAGTACCTGGGGGCGGGAGGGAAGTCAGGAATCTGAAGTCTGCCCTGACAGACAGCAGGTGTGTTTGGCCTGCTCTCCCACACAGCTGCCTATGACACCTTCCCCACTCACGTCACTTCAGGGTACTGCCACTGGTGGATCAGTTATCCTCCATATTTCAGACCAACTGACAGCAACTTTGGGGTGTCAGGCCATGGGGTGGTGGATAATGGCTGGCAAAGACACTCACAGCCACTTAGTGAGTGCCCTCACCTGAGGGGTTCCCGCCTACATCTCCTGGTCTCTCTGATATCACTGTGAGCCTTGGTCAGAAGAGGTCTCGGCATGGATCCCTGCTGGGTTCCTGTGCGTACCTCTCTCTCCCTAAGCATCTGCTCCCTGTCAGGTGACAATGGCTTCTTTGGTCGCCTTATTTCTGCTTCTCTGGGATTGTGAGCCACGTGAGGGCCTAAGCCCACCATGCCCAGAGTAGTACCCCTCCCTCTCTGTGCACAAATGTTCAAACAGAGCTGAGGATGCCTGTCATCGACTTCACAGCATCCCAGAGATGGGATGGCAACCCTCTCCTCTGGACTGACCCACCCCACACAACCCACAATGAAGACCCTTCACTGAAATCACCTCATAGGGAGGGCATGGTCCCACTGATGTCACCGTGAGCCTTGACATCAGAGACCAGCCTCCCCCTGCTGTTGAAGGAGGGAAGACCAGGAAGAAAGATCGGCACCAGTTCCTAACCCTCATCCCACGCCGGTGTCTCTCGGACTGCTGGCAGCTCTGAGTGCCAAGGGAGGCTGAGATGCGCCCGTGTTCTTGTGAAGGCCTCTCCGTCTTCATGCTTCCCCAAGCCTCCCTCACTCAGGCCCCAGTCTTGGGTTCCAGAAATCAGAGTGGATCTCCCTGCCCTGCCCATCCTTTTCAAGTAAAAATCACATATTCAGAGAGGGGACATGCCTAAAGCTAGCAAGGACAAGCGGCTTGAGGGAGACTGCTGTGTCTCCTGTGCGTGCGTGCGTGCGTGCGGTGCGTGCGTGCGTCTTCAGAGGGAAGCCAAGGGGGATGGGAGAGGAAGAGAGAGAGAACGAGAGCCCAGACCTTGGGCTCTAGCTGGGGGGCGGGTATGGGGGGCAGGAAGGCAGAGATGGCATCTGTTCCACCCTTCACTGTGCCTTAGATACAGAATTCACCAGCAGGACACAGGATCCCTGCCAGGTCTGTACACTAGCCCGGAAAGCCAACGGCTCTAATCTGGGTTTAACTGCCAGTATTGTTCTCATAAATGTCACATTCCACTATATAAAGCATCATGTCGTAAGAACAAGAGAGAATACTTTTTAATAAATGTTCTGTCTTAAAATCCCTGCGTTCAAAACGCAAGCCTGAGAATTCCTCCTGAGTGGGGAACCTGTGTGATCTTGACAATCCCTGGGGAGGTGTAGAGGGAAGGCTGGTGGCAGAGGCTGGGGAGGAATGTGGACCCCACTAACTGTCTTTCCTCTCATCTGTAAGAATCCTGCACCTGAGCTGACAGGAGCCAGGTAGTCTGCGAGGCTCCTCGGAGGAGCATGCTCTCCCTCCTCCCTTCACAGACAGCATTGAAGTCATGGCTTCCTGCCTTCCTCTTAGCAAGACCAATAACTGGGCAGGGAAGATCTCACGCTGAAGCTGGCATGATGACCCGGTACCTAGTCAACTGCTGCCAAGTCTGGCCACCTGAGTTGATCCCCAGAACCCACACGGTGGAAGAGGAGAACCTACTCCTGCAGGTTGTCCTCTGACCTCTACATACGCCCTGTGCCCCCCCCCCCCAAGTACACAAGAACCTCCCATTGTATCTCTGCAGCACCTAGGACACATGACAGAGAGGGGAGGGGGTTGTCTGTGCGTCTTACTTGCACTGTCCATGCCTTCCTAAGGTGCACCCCTCCCACCCCCCGCCGAAGCCTGGAACTTCATTCTAGCCTTGCTGTAGGAGCTTCATGCTACCCAGTGCCCACCTGGACTCCATTTCCATGTGCCCCTCCCAGGGGACAACAGACAACTCCATGCTAAGGTCATAACCTCAGAAAATCAAAAACTTCTCATCATAAGAGCGCATGGTGATTAGGAGAGAGTATTTAGAGTTGTAGAGTGAAATGCATGTATTTGGATGCACTGAATGTGGGTGAGAGTACATGTGTGTACACCAGTTCAGTGTGCATGGGATGCTTGTACATAAGAATGCTGTGGTGAGCCGGGCGGTGGTGGCTCACGCCTTTAATCCCAGCACTCGGGAGGCAGAGACAGGTGGAGCTCTGTGAGTTCAAGGCCAGTCTGGGCTACAAACTGAGTTCCAGGACAGGCTCCAAAGCTACACAGAGAAACCCTGTCTGGAACAAACAACAAAACAAACAACAACAAAAAGAATGCTGTGGTGTCTGAATGAGAATGGCCTCCATAGGCTCCTAGATTTGAACGCTTGGTCACCAGGGAGTGGGACTGTTGGAAAGGATTAGAAGGATTGTGAGGTGTGGCCTTGTTGGAGGAGATGTGTTACTGGGGGTGGGCTTTGAGGTTTCAAAAGCGCATGACAGGTCCATCTCTCTCTGCCTATGGATCAGGATGTAAAGCTCTCAGCTACTGCTCCAGCAACTGCCTGCATGCTTCCCTGCCCCACCCCCACCACCATGATGATAATGGGTTAAATCTCTGGAGCTGCAAGCAAGCCCTCAATCAAATGCTTTCATCTAAAAAGTTGCCTTGGTCATGGTGTCTCTTCACAGCAACAGAGCAGTGACTAAGACAAGCAGACAAACGGGCACATGTAAAAGAAAGGCTTGGATGCATGAGCATGTGTTTATACAAGTACAGGAAGCATTTGGATACATAAGCGTGTGTGTGTGTGTGTGTGTGTGTGTGTGTGTGTGTGTGTGTGCGCGCGCGCGCACAAGTATTCAGATGTACAAGTGTTCAATGCTTCCATGCAAGTGCAGGAAGCATCTGGGTGTGAATGTGTGTTCACACAAGTGCAGCAACCATTCAGATGTGTGTCACCATGTGATTGCAGATGTGAGTTTGTTGCTGTTTGTCTGCAAGTGCAGACGTGTGCAGTGTGAGGAAGCATGCAAATGGCTGTGCATGTGTATGGGTATTGCATGAGCACACGCCTGAGTGTGCAGGACAGATCTACTACCCTGCTGCCCCACCCTAGCATAGTGGATGCTCTAGCCGTCAGGAGGAGTGTGGAGGAGGGGAAGAGCGTGCAGCCCAGCACTGCTGGAGCTGAAGGCTTGGCTTACCTGAGGAAGTCTTTGACTACAGGCATGCATTCCTCGTCCACTCTCATGATGACGCTGCTGCCCACTGCTTGCGACAGGGCCTGGGCCTCAGGGTTGGTGTTCAAGATCAGCTTGTGGGCACAGAGGGTCAGATCCCCATGCCCCTGCCCTGTCACCTGGATGAACAGGTCACAGCCCTGCTGGCTGTCAAAGATCTGGCCCATCGCATCTGAGAGCTCTCCAGAGAGGTCCAGGACATGGACACCCCTGGTTTCTGGGAGAGACAGAGGGAGTTGCTGTGTGAGGGTTTGGGCTCTGCGGACCATTTTCTCTAACTCTAAGCTCCGTTGGACCTCAGGAGTCAGGTTCTTCATCTGTACCAGCCGTCCTGGCACCTGGCTTTGCTCAAAAGGGCTTGTGAGAAGATGCAGGATGGAACAGGCCTTAAGGAAGGGTGCAGCTGCCCTCTGAACCTCATGAAATGGGCGCAGGTCCTGCTGGCCTCTGTAGCCATGTGTGGCCCCGTGCCCTTATATACACAGAGGCTGGCTTCCTGTTCCCCACAGTCAGGCACTGTGTGTTTGGTTTGTGGAGAGTGTTGTGGTGTCTGAATGAGAATGGCCTCCATAGGCTCCTAGATTTGAACGCTTGGTCACCAGGGAGTGGGACTGTTGGAAAGGATTAGAAGGATTGTGAGGTGTGGCCTTGTTGGAGGAGATGTGTTACTGGGGGTGGGCTTTGAGGTTTGAAAGGGAGGCAGGGCTGGGCGGTGGTGGCACACGCCTTTAATCCCAGCACTGGGAGGCAGAGGCAGGAGGATCTTTGTGAGTTCGAGCCCAGCCTAGGCTACAGAGTGAGCTCCAGGAAAGGCTCCAAAGCTACACAGAGAAAACCTGTCTCAAAAAAACCAAAAAAAAAAAAAAGGGAGGCAGGGACGAATGAAGGGAGTGAAAGGAGGGAGGGAGGGAGGGAGGGAGGGAGACAGACAAGGAGGGAGAGAGGAGGGAGGAAGACATTTACCCTGAGTCTGTGCCCATTCTTTACAAACTCATCAGTAACTGCAGAGGCCACTCTCCTACACCCAGTGAACAGCCTAAGAAGTTAGAGTCCCACAGCAGCCCCACATTAGAACTCGGGGCTTCCCAGTCCCAAGGGGACAAATCCTTGAGGGGCTACGGCATGCCTCTGGGCATCCCCACTTTTCCCTGCCTCCAAAAGCCTAATCCAGAACCCCATTCCACATCATCTGTTGCCCTGTGAGGGTTTGGCTTGATTTTTACATTTAGAGTAGGTGGGCTGGCTCCTTGAGTCTCCTCACACTGTGGCCCTGGTACCCTCCTAGCTTCCACCTCCAGTCTCCTGTTCACATTGTTCCCCAGCCAGAGGGGCCTCTTGCCTTCCCAGAAGCCTGCACAGCTTAGTCACATTCATGAGGCTCCCCAAGTCTGAGCCTTCCACCCCAGATCAGCTTGTCTCCAAGCTTGTCTGACCTTGTAGGATTCAATACCCTCATGGCTCAGTTCCCCAACTTGGGACAGAGGGGAATCCCATGGGCCAGCCCAGGAGGAAGCCACAGATGGCATCCAGGAAGGAAAGCTCCCATTGAGCCACAGACAGTGGAGGTGAAGAGCTGGGATGGAGTCAGGGTTTGGCAGGCAGGGCTTTGGGCACCAGTGTCCTTGACCATAGCCGTTGAGAATCACTTCAATGTCACCACACAACCTGTGCACAGGGGTGCTATGTAATGTGTCAGAGCATGTAATAAGCACAAGACCCTGGGCCTTAGAGAGCCAACCCTCCCTCACACAGGTGTCATGCCCATAATCCACTGTCCTGCTACAGAAGCTTCTGTGACATGGGTAACACAAGGGGCTCTCTTGGAGGAAGTGGGCTTTTCATACGTCCCAGCCATATCAGGAGTGCTCTTCTCAGGGGTGCTGGGACAGGCAGGGGCATGGGTTTAACCACTGCTTCCTTCAGGTGCTGGGAGGGCAAGGGCAGCTCACCGTTGGAGCAGACCACGCCTGCATCCTTCTCATGCCCACAGCGGCTCTTCAGCCAGCCCAGGGAGCTGCAGTTGGCCAGTGAGGACTCTGTCCCTGTACACTCCACCTCGTCCAGCATGATGGGTCCCTTTCCTGTGGGTACAAAAGGAAGCCAGGGGATGCACTGGAGGAGGAACTGGACCCTTGGTGGAGAGCAGGTCCTGCAACAGGGTTGCTCACAGACACAGTAGGGATGTTTGAGGGGCATTACTAAGTGATCTCAGCTTTGGGGGTGGGATAGCAGCCACACCTGGCCCGAAGGCAGCTCTGCCCAGTGCCTGAGTGGCGTTCTCATAGCCCAGGGCCCGACAGACGACGTTGGCATCTAAAAGGCTCCAGAGGTTGTCGCACACTGTCCCCCACTGGCCTCTGTAGAAGATCTCCACGCGGCCCTCATTGGCTGAGGCCCCATTAACCAGACGCATGTCCCCATCTTCTGTACCTGTCAGGAAAGTAGAGGTCAGCTGGGAGGAGGGCTGGCCTGTCTTGGTGCCTATCCCCCATGAACCTCATGCTCTGTGCTGTCCTGCTGGGTGAAGGTTACCCAGCTGGGGCGGAGTGGCCTTCTGGGGTTGCTCTTGAACTACTTCAAAGCCCCCTTTCTGGGTGTGAAAGGTTATCCACCGAGGAGGCAGGAAAGCTCTATGAGGACCCCACAGAGGCCACAGCCTTTCTATCTCAGCTCTGGGTCTTTTGCTCCAAAAGGACACCTTGGCTCTCCAGCCTGCAGAGTAGAGGTGGTGGCCCCCAGGAAGAACTGGGAGGAAGAGGCCCCTTGCTGGCTCTCTGGAATACTGGCCTGAGGGGACAGGTTGTCCCTGGGCCCCTAGACACAGGCAGAGAGCAGATGCCCCTCGACTTATGATAGGGTGATGCCCTGACAATCCAATGTAAATTGAAATTGTCTCAAGTGAAAATGCATCTCATCCTCAGGGCCTCTGGACTGCCCCCACTCAGCAACTGGACAGCACAGTGTTGCTTATTTCCTCCAAAGTGTGGCACTGAGGGAGCTGTGGTGTGGTAAGAGAGGAGTGGGCAACACAGCACGGCCCCAGCTCACACCTAGGGTCTCTACCTCATCCCTACAGTGTCTGCCTAAAGCAGACAACCCTGAACCACAGACAGTCTGCACTCGGGCACAAGCAGCCAAGGGGCTCCTGCACCGCCCCCACCCTCCAGGGCTCCCATCTCTGCCCAGTAAATAGCTGGGTGCTTGAATTTGGGGGTCACCCATGCTAAGGAGGGACACTCAGCTGAGAGTGCAGGATGACCACTCCCAGGGACTCTGAATTCTAACCTGTGTCCCGAGGCCACCCATTCCAGGATAGCACAGGCCCAGCACTCCCTCCTTGGCACACTGATGAGATGGGAAGGTTCCTTGGCATTTTCTCCATCACCTGAGTTTCACCTGGGCCCAGGGGAGCCCCAGGGCCCACACACCACCATTATTTGGGATGACTGGGGATCCACATGAAGAGAATCCTGAGACATGGCACCTCACTGAATGACACCTGGGTTTTCTGCAAGGAGGGGAATGACCCAGAGAGCAAGGTGCAGCAGCCTTGAGGACTTCTGTTTTAGACATTTCCCAGCGGGCACGACTCACCTTGAGTCCCTGGAACCAGCAACCACACAGAGAGGAGCCAGAGGAGAGCCATTGCCTGGTCTAGACGCCCAGCCCTGCAGCGGAAGGCACAGCAGAGTGAGACTAGCAACAGTTCTCTGCTGGAGACCAGCAGTTCCACGGTCCCCTGCTTGCTGAGGACAGGACAGCTTTGTGGGTGGTCCCTCTTCTGCAGGGCCCAGATGGCCACGTGATGGCTCTCATGCAGGCCTCTCACATGCTCTGTGGGACAACCTTCAGGTCAGGAAGACTTCCCAGGTGGAACAGGAGGGTTGAGGGCTCCTGGCAGTGAGGATCCAGGAAGCACAAGGGGCTGTCCCTTGGCGATGAACAGGGTGTAAGCCTGCTAACAGTTGGCCTTATCTTCAGGCAGCAGCTCCCTGCGTGGTGTGCCCCGGAGGCACAAGTGATGCCAGTGGGGGAAGGGAGCTGTGGATGAGGTTGGAACAGGGGACCCCTCCTCAGGAGAGTAGTGACAGAGACAATGCAGAAGGGCTTGGGGCTCCATGGTGTGACGCGGGGATGAGTGGGGGGTGGGTCAGGGCCAACTCCCAAGGTGCTGACAGCTCTAAGGAAGTGGGCTGAGGAGGACTCAGTACTTAGACTATGGTCTAAGCTCTTGCCTGTCTGTAGGATGTGCCCCCCATCCAGGCACTGTCCTTCAACCCCTGCAAGGAGGGGGATGACCCACAGAGCAAGGTGCAGCAGCCCTGGTGACACCCGCTCTATGCCCAGCAGCCGCAAGCTTGGTTCTAGCTAGTGGGTGGTGCTATGGGGAGCATTATCTACTAGGCAAGGGCTGGTAATCTCAAGCTGTGTCTTTGTTGCTCAGACCAGGGGCCCAGGGATGTGCAACAGAGATATCCCAGGACCAGCAGAAATCCCAGGATTGCCCCCACCCCCACTACATACACACACACACACAGACACACACACAGACACACACACACACACACACACACCACACACACACACACACACACACACACACACACACACACACACACACACACACACGCATGCACACTGCCACTCCACTCCCATCTCAGACACTTCTGCATTAGACCAGCATGAAGGACCTCAGGGTCCCAGTCCACTTGTAGCCATCCTGGCAGGGGTGAAGATGTTCTAAGAGAGACTTATGTTGAGGATTTAGCTCAGTGGTAGAGCGCTTGCCTAGCAAGCGCAAGACCCTGGGTTCGGTCCTCAGCTCTGGAAAAAAAAAAAAAAGAGAGAGAGAGACTTATGCCCCTCCCTTTGGCTATCAGACCACTGAAACAAGGCACCCCAAAGAGCTGGAATTCCCCTGGGTGTCTCATGCTGAAAGGCTCAAGTCTGGTGACAGCATCAATAGGGGGGCCTTGTCTCCAGGAAAGAGATTTATAGCCAGGCAAGGACCAGGCCAGCTTCGTTATGCACACTTTTAGCCCTCCATTTAAATCTAAACCTCATGTTAATACCCCCTGATGGACTCCAGGGGGAGGCCAGATCTCCGTTCATCTTCTCAATGCAGCCACATTAGGTATAGTTCCTTTTTATGCTTTTCATTATTGTATCGTAACTGGACCACGGAGGATGGGTGGCTGAGCCTGGTTATCGGGGGAGCTGTCTGGGCATAGGCTCTGACCACTGAGTCCTGTAGCACACCAATGGGTGAGAAGCTTGGCCTTCAGTGCTCTGTACCCTCCCACCCCATTCAGCAGGCTCCCGTCAGCCTTCTGAAGCCAGTCATACAATAAACAAGACCCCAGCGCAATAAGCAAGTTTCCACATCCAAGTGAACACGCTGAAGCTAGGGAGTCAACTGACTCCAGATCACACAGCTGGTGAGCCCCAGGTTGGGGTCTGCCCAGGGGTGACCACCTTCTACCGAACAGACCCTGGCAGAGGTGGAAGGAGCCAGGGAGCCCCACATCCGTGTGCTGAGACATCACCCAGTTTAATCCCAGGAAACACTGGCTTCTGGGAAACCTGAGTCCCAAGGCAAACTGCACTGGGTACCCATCCTCTCCATTTACTATAAGGTGTGGCCAACAGGTCTGTCCATGCTGGGTCCGGAACTTTGGCCTTGGGAACATTGCAGGTGGATGTCCTCTGTCTGACTCCTTTGTGTGGGAAGCTGGGACAAGTCTGTCTATGCTGGCTCATTCAGTACCTCTGTGCAGGTGGGATTAGGCCTGGGCGAGTCCACAGACCCAGGAGAGGGCCAAGGGCTCAATTCTAACGCACTTACCCCTTTAGCTGATGCTTGTTCAGCAAACATCCCACCCAACTGCACAGAGGCCCTGCAGGTCTGGGAGGAGCACGATGCTTCTGGGCTCGGTGGCCTGCCGGTGACCATGCTGTGTGGAGTGGGGACTCACCTGGAAGCAAGAGACAGGGACTCCCGGGCAGCTGCTGAAGGTGGTCCTGGAGCCTCCCTGCTGGCTGCCTTCGGGAGCTTTCTGCAGACTGTTGGACTGAGAGGCTCCACCATGTGGTTCTCCTCAGCCTGGTCCCAGGAAATGCTTCATAAACCTAGTCTGGTTTCGATTTCCAGAAAACACATGACAGAGGCCGCTTCTGGGGTTGGCCGCAGACAGGCTAGCAGCCCGCTGCTTACTCGCTGCTCTGCTGGGGAGATGGCAGGCACCCAAGTGGCCTGTTGCTGAGCAGATAATGCAGCAATGTTCAGGCACCTAGGCTACGGCTGTGTTTGACCATCAGATGCATGTCCAGGCTGGCCAGACAGACACCGTGGGAGGGGACAGGTGAGGACAGTGGAAAGGTGGTACAAGCAGGCCTGGGAGCAGAGGCTCAGGTGGAACAGACTGAGCAGGACGTGGGCAGCACATTCCTTTCCTAGATCTGGAGAGACAGGCTGTGCTCACGCACACACCTGCTGTGCTTGGAGTGACGGTATCTGAGGGACAGATAGAGACAAAAAGGTCAAGAGTAGACAACAGCACTAGGAGCTGGGGGTGGCTCAGTGGTTAAGAGAATGACCTGCTCTTACAGGGGACCTGAGTTCGATTCCCAGCACCCATGCCAGTTGGCTCAGAACAGCCTGTAACTCAGCTCCAGGGGGATCTGACACTTCTGGTCCCTGTGGGCACCCACACTCAAGTGTGTGCATGCACACATACACACAATTTAAAAAATTAAATCTTAAAAGGTTCCTACAATACCTAGTTTAAAGCGGGGGGGAAAAAAGCAGGGCTAATCGAGCATGGTGGCACACCCCTTTAGTTGGGAGGCAGAGGCACGTGGATCTTTGGGAGTTAGAGGCTAGCATAGTTCTCATAGCGAGTAGGGAAGGGCACCTGCAGCCAGTCCTGACGTATGAGTTTGATCCCTGCGACTCACTGTAGGAGAAAACCGACCCCTGTAAGTTCTCTTCTGATCTCTGCATGTGCACCATGGCATGTATGACGCATGTGGTCACGGATAGCAAAGAAACGTAAAAACTTAAATAAAAATCAAAGGGGACTGGAGAGATGGCGCAGTGGTTAAGAACACTTGTGGCTCTTGCAAAGGACCCAGGTTCAGTTCGAAACACCCACATGGTGACTCACAACCACTCGTAACTCCAGTTTTAAAGGATATAATGCCCTCTCCTGATCTCCACGGAGCACCAGGCACACATGTGGTACACATACATATACAGCTGACAAACACCTGTACACATACATTACATTAAAATATAAAAACTAACAAGGTAAAATTCCCCAGACTCGTGGTAACTTTATACAGTGGGGGCCTAACTCCTAACGGCTCCTGCACCTCACCCAGTCCCTAGCACTGTAAGAGCTACTACCTCGAGACACTGAGCTGTCCTTGTGGAGTCCACCCAAAGGATCTGACACAGAAGGCCCAGGAGGCAGGCCAGGTGACTTCCAATTGGTATACAATCACCCCATTCCTTTTCAGGTGTATGATTCTCTTTTAGAATTCACCTGCTGTGTTTCTGTCCTCAGTGTCTACTGTTTTCTAAGATGCATTTACTTTATGTGTGTGAGCATTCTGTCTGTATTTAGCACACCATGTGCACGATGTGCATATGGGAGCCACAAGAGGGCATCAGATGCCCTGGAACCCGAGCTGCTGATGGTTGTGAGCTGCCATGTGGGCACTGGGAATTACACCCGGGGTCTGTGCAACAATAAGGACTCTTAACAGCTGAGTCTTCTCTCCAGCCCCGTCTCTAGTGTCTGTCTATTCCTTATTAAAACTTTTACAGCGATTCTAAGTCCTTTTATCCCTACGCCTTGGGCTCCTTATTCCAGCCCTGGACCTGGGAGCACCAAGCCCAAGCATTAGTTGGTGAGCAGATATGCTGGGTTCCCACACATCTGATGGTACTGTCACCCACACTCAGTAACCCAATCTCCTGACAACCCCAGTGGGGCAGGGTACAGAGCACCAAAGGTTCTGCCTGACTCACACCCATTCTCCTTCTTCAACAAAACAAACAAACAAACAAAAATCCTACACCTTGGTTTCTACTTGGGGAGTTCTCTGCCCAGCGCATCTCAACCTGGGCTGGCCAGAATCACCTGTGACAGACACCAATGTCCATGTCAGCCTGTGGGAGAAGTGCATTGTTGTTTTGGAATCCCCAGGAAATTCTGATGTACAGCCCCTTTGGATTCACCCCAAAGCTTTGAGCCCCAGAGCCTAGAGGTCAGAACTCAACAACTGGTTCCCTTGAGCATGCAGTTTCCCGGGGTGTGGGGTCCTGCAGTCCTGGGAAACGCATGCAGAGAGCGATAGGCAGAGACAGAACTGACTCTGCAGAGATGTCCAAGCTTCTTGAACTGGGTGCCAGCTAACTTGTGGCTCCTGTCACCTCAGATGAGAATGTGAAAGGGAGGATAAGGGTGCTGGCCTGCTTGGTGCCTGCATTCTGGGTCAGCCCCGTCAGCCAGCTGGGGCCCAGAGCTCTATGCTTCCCATGGAGGGAAGGATGCTAGGCCACAGAGACAGGGCCATCACAGGGTGTAGAGTCTGCAGCAGGTCCAGTTGCTCTATGGCCACTCCATAGCCAACAGATGTGGTTTAATGGGCCCAGACATTGAAACTCAGGGGGACTTCCAGAGGCCAGGCCCCAGGAACATGCAGCTTCCTCCATGACTCATCTGGAGACTCAGAGTAAACTGCAGGGAAGAGCAAGCTGAGGGGACAAAGGTCAAGTGATCGTGCTTCCATCTTGGTTACCCAGGGCAGAGTATCACAGCGGGCCATCCTGGTCCCAGCCCCCAACAGTGCTTATCTTTAACAATGGGCCTGGAGGTCACAAGGGCCTCTTCAGGATAATGCCCTGAAGAGGTCTTCAGGGCCACAGTGACCTCTAGCAGACCCTAAATCCCCTCCCAATACTGTAAGAGACAGAGCCTCAGAGCCAAGGCAGTTGTGAGTCACTAAGACCTCAACAGAACAGAAGCTTCAAAAGGAAGTGTCTAGTTCCCAGTAAACACAGGGCCTCCGGCTTCTCATTTCTTTTGCTTTGTAGCTGTGGCTTCCCACACCCAGCCCTGGAAGCCAGGCCCCACTTCTCCATTCTCTGGCCACAGAATAAACCCATGATTGTCTTTGCTTTTCAACACTGAAAGGAAAATGGTCTCTTACGGTAACAGGTTGAAGTATGACCAAACAGCCTTTGTTTAGGGGAGTCTCTCATGAAATGGGGCGATATACTGGTAACTTTTCTTCCTCACCTCTCTGGGGTGCCCTCAGTCTCAGCCTGGGGACCTCTGTACATCCTTGGAGGGGCACATTCTCCACATACTCTGGTGTCATTTGTCAGCAAACTTTGCAGGTTCCCTCAAATGATCCGCATGTGCACATTATTTGAACACACTCTGGTCCCTGCAGCCCTGGGCAGTGGTTCCAAGATGATCTGCCTTCTGCACAGAAAACGGACCAGAGGAAGGACAGAGACACAGACACCCACATCCCTCTCCTTGCCTACCAGACAACTGATGTAGTGGGTTACAAGAAACTGAAATTTTCCCAGGGGATTCACCTGAGAAGGGAAAAGCTGAGGCCTGCTGCCAGCAGAGAAGACCCTTGTCTCCTGGAAGGATTCCACATGGTCTGACTTGTTAGACTACCTGGCCAGACAGCTGAGGAGCCAGGGCCAGACACAGTGATGGGTCAGTGATGGGCAGGACCACACCTTGACCAGGCCTGTTTAGCTAGGCCTAACTCTTGCCTTCTGTTTAAACCTAAACTGTGTGTCAGGAACCCAAAGAAGAGCTTGGGAGAGTCATTCTCTCTGTCTCTGTCCCCCCCACCCCCGTGTGTTTGTGTATAAGTGTACGTGAGGTGGCACGTGCCACAGGGTGGCATATGAAGAACAGAGAACAGCTTTTGGGCAATCAGTTCCCTCCTTCCATCATGGGTTCCCAGGATCACTCAGGTTTACGTGGCAGGCACTGTCCACACTGAGCCTTTTCCTTGTCCCTCTGCCCAATGTGGCCACACCTAGTAAACCTTTCTCTGCTGCTCTGTGGAGGTGGGGACACCAAGGCTGGCTTGTGACTGCTGTGGTCCTGGTTCCAGCACTGCAGGCTCTGTCCTGACTCCAGTAATAAGCAGAGTGGGGAGACATGGAGTGGGACAGTGCCATGAGATCCAAGCTTGGAGACACGCGTGAGGTGCCCACCTCACGACTCCAAGGCTCGCAATCCCACCTGCTCAGACATTTTGGGACAGAGCCCTTGGCAACAGTCAACACACACAAGAACCACATTCCCCTGACCCTTTATTGTTTACAAAACAAACGGACAGAGGGAAGGACACAATCACTACGCTTACGTTCTGGAAAGGAAGGGGTGTGAAGGCTGCCTGTCCCAGGTCCACACTGCCTCTTCAGTGAGGGTCCCTAGGCTTCTCTCGGGCTCCCTCATTTCACCTTCCAGTTTAGAGTTACACACTCTAACCCAGTTGACAAACACCAGAGGAATGGCTGAGCTCCCAGCAGAACAGAAAGCACACCAAGATGTCACCATCACGAGTCAGTAACAGACTCCCAAGTGGGAGTCACCCCCCAGTGGCAGTGGCCCTCCTAGCCTCCCAGTGGAAGGGCTTTGTGAGGGTTATCAGGGCCCTCTGCCCACGGCAGCACCTGTGTCCTGTCCTAAGGGTGTCGCAGGATGATGAGGTGGCTGCCCTACAGGACAGCCTCTGACCCTGACTCTGCGGCCTTTGCTGTCGAGCATGGACAGGAAGAGAGCAAAAAAACAGTGAGCCCCCCCCTCCCCCCAGAGAAGGCTGCTCAACGCTCACTGGGAGCCAGAAAGAAATGCAGGGGACAACAAGGATGGCCTCTAGTCAGGTGCCGGCCTGCTGGAACCAGAGCCCTCCCTCAGCCACTGTGGAGAGGGGAGACATGGCAGCTTTTGAAGTTGCTAGAAGGCAGAGGCCAAGGATCCAGAGTCCCTTTCTGTAAAAGACAGTGTCACCATTGCGGCTGTGGGGACGATTCCCTCGCTGCTGGGAGATGTGGGAACTCCACCTTTGCTGTGTGATGAGGTTTGGTGACTCTGTTCTATAGGAAAGGAAATTACTTTAATAAGTTAGTAAGTCAGGCCTGAACGGCCAGAATCCTCCCGAGGGGTGGAAGGAGGCCTTGGCCATGGGAAGCAGGAACCCTGTGCTGGAGGTGGCTTCAGAAGTGTGGGCAGGTGTGTCCCAAGGGTGGGGCCCTTGCTCTGCCATGTAAACATTTACTTTCCAAAGGTCTGCAGAGTGTGGAATGCCAGGGTCACCTAGGAGGAAGAGGGGTGGGTGCCTTAGAGTGCCTATCTGGCAGGCCCACCTCAAACTGCCTTGTGCTCCCAGGGTGAGGCTAGGACTCAACACACCTGGCCACCTCAGACACGTACTGGCCAGAGAACTCGGGGAAAGGCAAGAGGCCAGCAAAGAGATGGAGGAAAGGAGGGGCGTGGCTGGATTTTGAAGGCCAGGGGCTCAGGTACCTGAAGCAGTGACCAATCCCTACCACAAGGTGGCAGTACACAGTGAGGCATGGGTGGGCGAGGCCCTGCCGTTCCTGTCCAGGACCCCCCCCCTCCCCCCACCCCCACCCCTGCCCTTGCTCTCAGTTTCAGAACATCACCTGAAGCTGTGTCACGTGGCCTGGGACTCAGCTCCCTATTCTGGAAATCTCTATCCAGGCACACAGCTCAGTTAAAAAAAAAAAAAAGAAATCAGCAAACAAGCCAAAGCGCGTTCCTCTGGTTTTTATGAAATTGAGTCCTGGTGTGGCTCAGGCCACGCGCCCTCACCCTGCTGGGCATGCGATGCGAGCTTACTCATCTAGATGAATTCTATCCCTTCATACTTGACACTGCCGATCTTAGTCTCTGGCAGCAGGAAGCGGCCATCTAGCGTGAAGGCCATGATGTAGGTGGCAATCCTGCCACTGTCCTCTTCTGACTTGAGAGCCACGATGATCTGGTCGTCAGTGTTGGGGATGAACTTGAAAGATGAGAAGCCGTGAGTGGGGACCAGCTCGCCCACGCGCCTCACAGAGATGTCCTTGAAGTCCTGGGCTGCGCTCAGCAGGAGGTTGCTGCCCTTGTGCTCATCCGCCCTCTCGCTGTAGCGCTCGTGGCTAGCCCGGCGTGGCAGGAAGAACCAGCGCTGCAGTGTGTCACTCCAGCAGGCAGATTCGTGAATGAGGTAGCCTGGGGTCACAGCACAGACCAGTCACCACACATCACAGCCCTTCTTCTCAAGAGTCCTGCCACCCCAGAGGCTACACTTGAGGAGCCCCACCCCACCTTTCCTCTAATCTCCAGCTCGTTTGAGAACAATCACAGCTGCTCTAGGAGCACCATGCAGCAGACGCAGCACAGCTGGAGAGCAGTACTGAGTCTACAGTGTCTCATTCCCCCACCAGCTGCTGTCATGCCCTCAGGGGCCTGCAGCCTTCACCACATGTCTATGCTTTTGCTCCCATGGTGCACAGGGCACAGAGAAGGTCAAAGAGTCGAAAGGGAAACCGAGCAAGCAGCACCTCCACCCACTTCAGCATGGACGAGCTCTCTGGGTCTTGGCTCTCTGCTGCCCTTTGCCCCACACCTGACTCGGCCTTTCAGACGAAGGTCACACTCCTCAGAGCCCAGGGGAAGGCAGCTCAGGCCCTAAACCTCTCCTCCTCTGCTTATGAGGGCCATGACCCCAGCCATTAGGGCCCCAAACTAAGGACGAATGTTGTGGATGAGGGGACTGCAGGGTGCAGTGGGCAGAGGCCACCTGTTGAGGCTAGTGAGGGACAGAAACAGAAACGGCTTATTTGTCTCAAATCCACCTACACGAGGAGAGTATCATCAAGAAACCCGAGCAAGCTGTGAGATCTTCATACTTGGGAGCCTGTCGAGAAGAGCCTTACCTGGCGGTTGGATCCCAGCGGCGGCTCTCAGAGCATTGTAGCTGGACACCCAGTTCTCGTGCTCCACGTTGCCCCTGTGGCCTACCACCTTCACCCACTCAGGGTTCTCGTTCATCACCTCCCCTGTGGTGGTGGTCCACTCTTTGCCCAGGCCACCCACGTACAGGTGCTCATCCTTCACAGCAAGCCACTCAGCTTTGAAGCCTGGGGCAACAAGAGGGCGAGCCTGAGACCCTGTCCCCACGTCCAGCCCGGCTCTCACCTGTGCTGCTGTCATCCAGAGTGGCGCCAAGCCTCCTGGATGTCACAAGTCACCACACCTGAGGTTCACTGGAGGCTGCATGAGAGGCCCAGAAGGGAGCCTGGCAGACCTGTGCTGGGTCCCAGAGCCCCCACATCCTCTTTCTTACCCCTTTCCTCCCAAGGAGCCCCATCTCTTCTGCAACAACTCTGGAACCGCCTCAGACCAGTCCCAGACCTCCTGTGCTAGGTCTCCGCCCATCCTTCGGCTCCCAAGGGCCAGCAACCCCATCCCACGTCCTGTGACGCCAGCAGCCTCAGGAGCATCGAGTGGCACAGCGATCCGAGCTTCCAAGTGCTGTGGCAGTTATCGGCCACCGAGAGCTGACAGCTCCGCACAGGCTACCACTTCCTGCCTCTCACCTGCCAGGTTGTAGGGCACCACCACGTGGGTCTGTTCTCCCCTTGGCCAGGGAAGAAAGCACAGTGCCAGGGTCTTAAGGACGAGGCAGTGGTGCTCACCATCCTCGTCTTGGTTTCAGAGCATTCACCGGAGCTCCTCCACCTGACTGACTTTGCTCAGGCCTCCTGGGCACGCCAGCAGTGAAGCTGTGCAGTCCCAGCACTCTCCTCCCCGACATTCCCGAACATGCCAGCTCTCCAACACTCCTGCAAGTTCCCAGGCCCCTGGGAAGCCAGGGCTGCATCTGCCTCCCCACTGTGGGAGGATGGAGGCCTCTGACACCCCTAGAGTGACTCTGGAGGCACTGGCTTGGTCCCCGATGCCCGTGACCTCATGAGTCTTCTGAGCTGCCTCCATGAGAAGCTGCCCCATTTGCCAACCTTTGACCCTTCTGGATGAACAAGCACAACTCAGCCCTAAGCACCCTATGACCCTGCACTCTTCCCACTCAGGGGAAAAACCACCCCAACACAACAGAAGCTTACAATCCTGAAGGTTATGAGCAGGAAGTGGGTGAGCATCATCATTACTGGCACGGAGGTGGAGACAGGCCCTCCCGAGAGCCCCAGCCTTGGACAAACACTGGAGATTTTATCACCCAGGCAGGGCCTGGCAGGCTATGTACAGGGACAGTGAATCAGCCTCCTTCCACCCCAGGCGTCTGCAGTGGTCTCCAGCTTGCTGTGAGGGACAGATCAGACCTGCTGAGGTGAGGCAGCTCTTTCCCCTTCCCTGTGGAAGCAGCGGCTCCTCTCTGCTGCACATGGGGGATAACACCAGTCTATTCCCAGGGGTAATTGCTGCTCAACACAGAGACCCTTGTACTGGGCTCAAAGCAGGGCTGGGTAGCAGCAGCTGACCTGTGGCCCCAATAAACTGAGATTAGAATCTGGGATCACAGTGAACCACCGAGTACCCAGCTTTGAAGGTGAGTCACCTGGTGGGAGTAATACTGAGTGATCCTAAGACACCTCTGAAGACATGACAAGGACCAGGGTCCCTTAAGGGGTAAGGGAGGCAGTGGACACAGCCTTGGCTCATTCTGAAAAAGGGCTTCCCACTCAGCAGCAGGCTTCCAGTGATCTGCTCAAACTTCTAGAAACAGCTTCATATAATCCCGGCAAGGTTCTGCTAAGGGTGGAGGTGGGTGGGTGGGTCAGTCGGAGTTGAATGAAATGTCACCAGGGCCTTGGATTACTTTCTGTGGTTGATCCTGAGTGTCAAATTGATGGGATTCGTGATCACTATGGAAACAAACTTCTGGGCATGCAGCTGAGGAGTTTCTAGATTGGGCCGGAAAACTCACCCTAATAGAGGTGGCACCGTCCCACAGGTTGGGGTTCTGGACTGAATGAACTGAGAAAGCGAACTGAGCACCAGCATTCACCTCTCTGCTTCCTGACCGTGTGACTAACTGCCTCCCACTCCTGTCACTATGGCCTCCCCACACGATGCACTGTGTCTCAAGCTGGGAGTCACAGTAAACCTCCCCGTCAGTTTGGTCACAACAGTGAGAAACTAATAT